AAGCAGGTAATTAAAAGTAGTCTAACATAAATGCTGTAATTTGATTATTTTAATAAACATGTAACTTGGATGGATTTGATGCTGGCGTGACCACAGTGCACACGTCTGCTGTTGCTCAGGGAGTTTGTGTGTTCGCTCAGACACATGAAACATTACAGGGAACATTGCTTAGGAGTACAGTGCATCAATGCCTGCAGGGGAGAGAACGAGGGCTTGGAGAAGGTCAGATAAAGACACAATCCCTCTGACCACATCATCACTGTCAACCAACACCAACCGATGTACCTGGTGAAACAAAAGATAACATTTTTCAGCTCCACTCTGCTGGATACATCAGTACACCCTGACACATTAAGTATCGAAGCTGTATTTTAAGTACTTATGTTGTGCATCTACCTAATGTACCTGAGCCTAATGGACTAACTTTGATTACACAGTCAAGAGCTCTCACGTCTGACTCATATTGCCACCAACAGTATCCCAGCAGTTTGTGTATAAGTATTATTTTTGCAGCACTGCAGGCTGCACTGTATTACCTCAGCCTGTGCAATGCGATCGATGATGGTCTCCAGTGTTTCATGAGGGTAGCACTTAAGGACCCCCTCAACACAGCAGAATCTGGATGCAATGACTTCCCGCATTGTCATATTTAAGTTGTTATAGTTTTTCTGGGCTGCAAGGTTCTTAGGGACAGAAGAAAACCCAACAATGTTGTTAGCAGCTACTGATTTTACTTTCATAAGATAATAACATTTCTGGATTAACTGCTTATATATAAAGTATTTAACTGTTTCTATTTTTTCTTTAATAAATTTATGGTATTTTAATCAGAAATTGTGTGTGAAGATATACAGTGTAACACATGTGGGTCCTATGTACCATACATAATACATGGGGAAAAAAACAGCAACTTACAATAACATCAAATCTGGAGTACAGCGCCACCACTTTACCTACAGAGGATATACACAGAAAGGCCATGAGGTAAGTTTTTGTTGTTTTACCTTTTTCCAAAGTATGCATCCAAACTGAAGAAGAACAATAAAAAAATTTTTTATTAAATTATGTAGCAAACAAACCAAAAACATTCATATTATGACTCTTCGTAATATGAAGGTTTTTGGTCTAATGTGGCTATTGTTTGTCTTGATAACAGCTTTACAAACTGTTGTCATTATTGTCAGCCTTGTCAAAAATCAATTGGTAGAATTTTATTCTTAACTCCTTTGCATCCACCAGGTCTCTGATTAGGGTTAGTGGCAGGGCTAGGCTCACCTCTGCTGCTTTGTATGGAATTTACATCTATATAGCACATGCACATGAAAAAGTTATAACAGAAGGCCTTGAAGCGTTGAAGCCTTTAATTGTCAAATAGCAAAAAAAACAAAGCTGATCGTCTTTAGTAATCTGTATTATGACAAGACCAAGGACTGAAAGCTTTACATGCTGGTAAGAGAATAAAGACTACCATGAGTGGTAATGTAAACGTATCAAGCTTTTTCATATATTACAAAATTTAATTAGTTGCATGTGATTACCTGCTGATGACTCATGATCATGCAAACTTCAAATTTTCCAGGTGAATAACAACATTAACTTAGCATGACAATTCAGAGCACCCAGCCTTCTTGGAGTCCCTGGGTGGTGTGC